GAAAACTGCAGGGAGTTGTCCAGGCAGTCTCCGAGAATCATTCGCGATTGAACAGATTAAAAAAAAAGGCACACAGGCTAGGTTCACCCTTACCTCTCATCCATAATATGATGTGTGAACTCAGTCATCCTAGTTTTTAAACTGTGATCCATTGCTTAGCATGATCAGTGAACTCAGCCTTTGTGGCTTGTTCAACAAACCACAATTGGAACACGATTTAGCACAATATGTGAATCCATCCATGCTGTCATTTCTCACATCGGTCCTTTCATTCCTATAGTGCTGCTTTATTCCGGAGCACAGAAAAGCTTGCATTGCTTCTCTTGCTGCTAATTAGAGATAAATGCGGTAGACAATTACTTCTGTAATATCCTTTCTGCTCAGGAAGATGATGAGAGTCCATCCTATCTGACCGCGGAAAGATGGAGTTGAGCCTAAAGCTCTTTTGTCTTTGACCTTACACATACCTAACTCACTTACTTGTGTGGGAATATCTCCTCTTTTCTCATCAGCCCTGAGGCATCCTTTTCCTCATAAATGTTATCTTTCACACACTTCTGCATAAATTCATTCATTCTCCACCTTCCATTTCTGGCAAATTCCCCCTGCCTTCCATGCATCCACTCACATGCATTTTGCACCAGGGTCCCAAGCCTTGCACTAAGCATATTTTGACCATTCCTTCACTAGCAATTTATGGCATCTTCCGAATGGGCCAGCGCTGATGCAGGCAGGTTTTATATCACTTCAGTGATGACCAGCTGTTGCTCTGAGACCTATCGATCCTGACAGAGGAAATGGCCTTGGAATCCAAACGTGAGCAGTGGGAATGAAATCAACCAACCTGGACGCCTGCCTGGGAATGAGAGAAGGTGAACAATAGAAGTGCAATACATCTGAACTTCTTTAGCTGAGGAGAGAGGGTGGGAAGAGAGAGAAGGAAGAAAGGAAGGAGAATGGTCCTTTGCAAATTTGGCGTTCAAAGGTCCTCATGAACCAGAGAAGAGAAGTGAGAAAAATCCAAGCTGCAGGTCTCCAGTCTTTCCAAGTGCCACTTTTTAGAGGCACTTTTGGAGTTTCAGAAAAGCAGTTCTGATCTCCCTAAACCAATTCAGCCAGGGTGTTTGTAAAGGCAGCCTTCTTTATTTATTTATCAAATGTATACACCACCCATCTCTAGGCGGCTGACAAGTAAATAGTAATGTCTTTCCCAAACAAATACCACACTACCTACTTAAAGGCAGCATTCAGCCTCTGCTTTCTCCACAGCCATCCTATACAGCTGAGTGACTTAAGGGCTTGCATCCCACATTATTATACAACTCTGAATCCCTGCATTTTGTTTGACTTTGGGAAGCAAAACCAAATGAAACCTGCGGGTCAAGTCCCCCATCCGAATCCTTTCTTTCCCTAAGCGGATTTTCGTCCTGGAGTGCCCTGGTTAAGGCAGCTTTGCTTGAAGTGTCATCTCCTTGAATTGCCTTTCAGCTCCAGGCCTCAAGGGAGCCATGCAGGAGTCACTTACTGGGAGCCGGGATGCTTAATACAAAGTCATCAAAGCGCTTCTCTGCTTCTTGTCTTAAAGTGACAGGCCTCTTTTATTGGCCTGTTTGAAATACGCCTCCTGCCTTTCAGGGTCCCTCTATCCATCTTTGTCTGCTCATCAGGGAAAAAGCAGACATTAAAAAGCAAAGCCTTGGGCAGTGCCAACTTTGGCTCCCCAGCAGATTGAATTTGTCACCTCTTCATTAATCTGAAGTGACTTCTTTTCCACAAGGTGAAAATGTGTGTCCTGGGTGGGAGTTTCTCTTTGAATAGGTAGATTTTGCAACACACATGAATGATTTTTAATAACTTAGCTAGTGCAGGAGACCACAACTGGAAACTAAGCAGGATCAGGTCTGGTTAATACTTGGATGGGAGGTGGCCTAGGAATTGCAGTCCCTAGGCTAAACTGGGATGCCAGTTTAAATGTGTGTGTGTGTGTCCCAGAATAAAGCAAAGGTAAAGCACTTTCATATTGCCATCAACAATGCTACATGAAATCACCAGGAGCTGAGTCTCCTTGAAGGAACTTGACTTAAAGATGAGATAACTTTCAGTGACTCTGTAGGAATTAGAATGATTTATTTTAGTGCTGTAATCCCCATCACAAGTTGTTCTCAGTATGACAAGCTCATAAAAATCTGAATTGCAAATGGTTTAGCATTTACATGGCTGCTTTCTTAAACTCATTGATTCCAGAGGACCTATTTCCAAATACTGTAAGCATACTGAGGAACCATCTAGACTTTCACGGATTCATTGGACCATGGCTAGGGATTTGTAAAGGAATCACCATATTTCAAAACATCCAGTTAATCAAGCCAGTGATCTCTGACCAGTATCAAAAGCTCTCCTTTCAAACTAATTTAAAACCAGTTAGCACATTTGGATTGAAGCTTGTTTCTTTCCAGTGCATCTGTGCAGTTAAGACTCTCTGCGTTGCTAATAAGGTCAGCCTTTTAGCCCAGTTGCACTACCTGTGCAGCTGAAATCTGCTTTTTCAGGGAGAAAAGCATGTTTAGGAATGCTTGCAGCAACTGAGGGCAATTACTTCATGCAAATCTTCATTCCTTTCCTTTGACCAAGCAGCCTGCAGTTTGTAATTAAATTCAGCACAGAGTTTCATAACTGTCTTCTATATGACAGTATTTTTGTATGCAGTGAGCAATATAAACTGGAGAATTCTTTCAACAGTACATCCATGCTATGCTTCCTGTAACTCTTATTGCTATCAGAAAGAGAATCAACCTTCTGAACAACCTCCAGCTGAAATTAAAGGCACTAAAAGTGTTTGATTATGCCTAACTGGTGTCAGTTATAATCTGAATGGTTATATTATGGTTCAACAAACCATAGATTAAAAAAGTAGATACAGACAAATTGAAACTTATTTGCAAGTAAACCCCACTGACTTAGTTACATTTTGTAACTAATAATGTTCCAAACTACAGTATTAGAGAAAAATAATTCAAATAATAGAGAAAAAGCTCTTGTTTGAAGAGAAATGCCTGCATAAAGAATAGCCTCAGGTTATGAACTGAATTACATTTTGTGAAAGCTTTTCTTATATATGAAGTCTGGCCCAGCTTACTGTAATTCAGTTATAATAGGTAATTAGTTGTCTGCTGACAACCTCTTACCAGAATGGGAACGTGATTACTATTTAGAAAAGAGTTTGTCAACTAGAAAAGAAGTTCACAACTTGTAGACCATGAGACAAGAACAACTTTTGGATGTGTGCCCAGGGGCAACTAAATTGGCTTTCTAATGGTGAGAGATACAGAGAACAGCCATCTTCTCATAACTTGCTGGTAACACGTTGAGGCTGAAGATTGAGAGGCTGGACCTCTAGCCTTCTTCCTCAAACTGGCCATACAGGAATTGTGGGACATGGTGCTAATCAATGCCTACAACGTGGCCTTCTTGTTGATGCTGGACTAAATTCTCATTACTATTCACCGTTGTGACTGGATGTTACGAAGGGCTCCAGTCCAGCAAGATTTGGAGTGCCACAGGTTACTATTGTTGAATTAAGGTTTTGAAGAAAGAGTCTGTTGCTCTTCTCAGTGATTCTAAAGAGCTAATTCTGCCATATCTGATTTTAGAAAAACGATGGCAAAGAAAAGCATAGCAGATTGGAGGTTTAAAGAAGAGGAAGCTAAGGGAATTGACTAGATCAGCCTTCTCTGCTCTGGTGCCCTCCAGATTTAGGAAAAGGTAATCTAAGTCTAAATTGGATTATAGATGTGATTAGATGTAATTATATAGAATGATGGCCTTTTCATGAATGTAGTAATTTCTCCTTCCTGTTACATTAGACATTCCAAGCTGGTGGTAGCTTTGTAGGGGGAAAGTCTCTGGGGGCATACCAAACTTTTGGAGTGTTAGTTCCACTTGCCTTGAAAAGGAGCACCCCACATGCTCTGGGAAATGGGGACAATGCAGCATGTTTTAGCAACTCCACTTGTACTTTGAATAAAAAATGGGGGGGGGGGCAGCACAGGATATGTTAGAAAAAGTCACGAAGGTGACACAACAATGTGATAGAACCTCTGCTAGGCTTGTACATGCATAAACACATTGGGGCTTTGATCAGACCATCTTGCCTACCATCCTGACTTTGCCTACCATCCTGCAGACACCCCTGAATTAAGCAACTTTGCAGTTTTTAAGTAGTTTCTGATCTCCAGAAAAGGCTGACTAAAAGTCCCCTGAGTATAATTTACCTGAATAAATGAAAATAATGGCTTTTGTAGCTAGTCAGCCCTCGATAGTGGATTCACTCCATGGATGTGGCTAACTTGGAAATAGCCTCCTTGGGTAACTGAAGAGGGAGAAGTCTGCAAAGTTTTTATAGACTTCTCTACAAAGGCCAGTAGTTCTCACCTTTTATTTTACAAAGCTGCTGGCTTTAGGGTACCTTTCTTGCCCCTTCTTTTAAAAAAAGCAGATGCCACCCCCACTTCTGGTCCGACCTCATTTATTTAAATAAATATAAATATACATTTGATATAAAACTATTCCCCTACAAACCAGAGCATTCAAGCGACTCTCCAGAGGATTCCCCACCCCGCCCCACCCATTTCAAATAAAGATCGGTACAAAACAGTTTTAGTCGAGCTTTTTGTCTTCTGCTCTTTGATTCCCTAAATCTTCTCTTAATTTCGGAGTGAATGAGGCTGGGGGCGCTTTCCCCCGCAATGGACAGGGCGGGAGTGGCTCGGGCTGCGGGCCTGGCGGGTTTGGGGAGCAACCAGAATGGCTGTTGTTTGTGGTACATAAATACCGTGAGCTCGGGACTCGAAAGCCCGATCAAAACAACCGAGCCCGGAGAACAGGGAACTTTTTATTGTTTTCGTCTTTTCCGAGTCTGGCAGAGTCCGACTGGACTCTTGCCTTCGCGATCGTCCGCGGAAGCCCCGGGAAGCGGAGCGCTTCGAGTCCGGTGGAGACTCTCACAACGGGGAGACCTCCTTGTCTTCGTTCGCCGAGGCTGGAGAGAGCGACTCTTCGTCCTCCGACCTGGGAAACCGGCCCGGGTTGCCGGCGCAGCTGCAGCCACCGTGCGTGTTCCTCTGGGCGCCTTTGCCTTCCTTCTTGTGCTTCACCCTTCGGTTCTGGAACCAGATCTTCACCTGCTTCTCGGACAGGTTGAGGTACGTGGCGATCTCGATCCGCCGCAGCCGCGACAGGTACATGTTGGCCGAAAATTCCCGCTCCAGCTCCAGCAGCTGCGTGCTGGTGAAAGCTGTGCGCATCCTCTTGCCGTTCTGCAGCTGGCCGGCGCCGTCCGAGCCTCCTGGAGGGGAGCCGAAAAAGAGCCCAGTTAAACCCCGATCGAAGCTTAAATCAGCCTTCCCCCCCACCCGTCCTTTCTGGCATCCTGGACTATAAATCCCATCGTTCCCGGCAGGGGCGGGGCGCCTCCATGGACGCGTTCCGCTTCCATCTGCGCCCATCTCGGCCAATCAGACCCGAAGCCCGGGAGCGGGACAGGAACGTATCCCCCCGCCCCCCGCTTCCAAGTCTCTCGTTGTGCTTCCCAATTTCTGTCAATTACAGCGAGAGCGCCTCTGAACATGGGGGCTTCACCGAGCCTTCTGGGCTGGGCGCCGTTGTGAAACGGAGCCCTGCGGTCGATTTGGCCTCGGCCCCCTTCTCCGCCGTGGAAGTTAGATGTTACTTGCCCGTGGCCTGAAGAAAGATTCCCCCGCCCCCATCTCCCATCCACCGCTCTAAAGTGGAGGGTGCGAATTTTGCTCTGGTGCCCCAGAGAGGGGGAAGTATCTATCTCTGTCCCAGATTCACCCGTCCCTTCTCTCTTTTGACAGCCGAGACGGCTAGCAAGCGTGCTGATTCCTTTATTCCAAGAAGAGAGTCCCACCAAAGCACTAGAGTTTGGAGTTATTCGATGGGAAGCAGCAAGGTGTGCTTCATCTTTTAAATCTTCCGGCAGGGTGCCCTTCAGAGGTTTGGGATGACAACACCCGAAGTCTGTGTGTCCTAGAAGCATGGGATTTGAAATCCAAAACACCTGGATGGATCAGGTGGTTTGCCTTTCCTGAGTTTAGGGGGCCCAGCTTCAGGATACTAATGTTCTTTGTGGAACTGTTCG